TGAAAGTGTGGATGGTATGATCTCAGTTCTTTATACTTATGAAGTTCTTTATACTTCTCATTAATCTTGCATCCATTAAACCTTTTCTCCTGTATTTTCAACCCCTCACTTCCCCGTCTCCATTAATCTATCATCCATTAACTCTTTTCTCCCGTGTTTTCAACCTCTTCATCTTCATGAACTGTACTCCCCCTTAGTCCATAAACATGTTCAAAGTTCCTCATCCTGAAAAATACCTTCCCTTTACCTGGCTACACACTGGACCAACCCAGTCTTTCCTCCCTTGGTATCAAATTTCTCCGTAGAACATTCTCCGCTTGCTCCAGCCACATCCTCTTCACCCACCTTACTCCTAAACACTGCAGCCCTACAAGCGTCTGTCCTCACCCTTCTTCTTCCTTCTAAAAAATCTCCTCTACTTCCATTTCACCAGCATGGGCATCCATTCAAGGGGCTTTCAAAACTGTATCTTGGGTCTAGTCTTCTCCCTCCATGCAAATTCTCCCTCGTTTTTCTACCCCAGGTCCATCTGATGATCCCTCCAGCACGTCAGACTACATTTCCCATTTCTCATTCCTCACCTCATGTCAATATCTGCCTCTCCATCATTGTTCACTGCTCACATCCTGCCAGTCTCTGAGGCTTAAAGCTGCACAAAGAACACCGAATCCACCTTTCCCCTCCCCTCCTCCACTAGTACATGGGTGTCTCCAAGGTCTCAGTGTGTTTTAAGCTTGAATTAGTTCAAATTATTAATTACACAAATTTACATACACACACACATACACACACACACACGAAGACACAAACAGCAGCATTTGAAAGTTTAATTATTTTGATTTATTTTTCACTTTTGGGGCGCCTCGGTGGCCTAGTCAGTTAAGTGTCCTACTCTTGATTTCAGCTCAGGTCTTGATGTCAGGGTTGTGAGTTCAAGCCCCACATTGGGCTCCATGCTGGGAGTGAAACCTACTTAAAAAAATGAGCAGGGCATGAGCAGACATTTCTCTAAAGAAGACATCCAGATGGCCAACAGACACATGAAAAGATGCTCACCATCACTCCTTGTCAGGGAAATATAAATCAAAACCACAAGGAGATATAACCCCACACCTGTCAGAATGGCTAAAATCAAAAAGACAACAAACAACAGGTGTTGGCAAGGATGTGGAAAAAAAGCAACCATCATGCACGGTTTGGTAGGAGTGCAAGCTGGTGTAGCCACTGTGGAGAACAGTATGGAGTTCCTCAAAAAATTAAAAATAGAATTACCACATGACTCATTAATTGTACTAGTGAGTGTCTACTCAAATAATATGCAAACACTATTTTGAAAGGATATATGCACCCCCATATTTATTGCAGCATTATTTACAATAGCCACATTATGGAAGCAGATCAAGTGTTCATCCATAGATAAATGGATAAAGAAGATGTGGTATATGTATGTGTGTCTATATATGTGATGGAATATTACTCAGCCATAAAAAATAATGAAATCTTGCCATTTTCAACACCTTGGATGGATCTAGAGGGTATAATGCTAAATCAGTAAGAGAAAGACAAATACCATATGATTTTACTCATATGGAATTTAAGAAACAAAAGGAACAAAGAGAAAAAAGAGACCAAAAAACAGACTCTTAACTATATAGAATAAACTGATGGTTACCAGAGGGGAAGTGGGGGGGGACGGGTGAAATAGGTGAAGGGGATTAAGAATATATTTCTCGTGATGAGCAATCTGTCATACATAGAATTGTTGAATCAGTATATTGTACATCTGAAACTAATATAACACTGTATGTTAATTATACTGGAAAGAAAGACAGGGAGACAAGAAAGGAAGGAATGAATGAACAAAGGAAGGGAGGGAGGGAGGAAGGACAGACGGATGGAAGGAAGGAAGGAAGGAAGGAAGGAAGGAAGGAAGGTAGGAAGGAAGGAAGGAAAGAAGGAAGGAAGTTGATTGGACTCAGAAAGAGAGGGACTGGCGCCCCTAGGTGGCTCAGTTGGCTGAGTGACTGACTCTTGATTTTGGCTCAGGTCATGATCCCAGGGTTCTGGGATCGAGCTCTGTGTCAGGCTCCACATTGAGCAGAGAAGCTGCTTGAGATTCTCTCTCTCTGTGCCCATTCCTCTTCCCTATGGTTCTGCATGGAAGGTATATATATTCCCATTTTACAAATAAGGGAACAGAATTACAGAGGAATTAAGTAACAGGTTTGAAGTCAGGCAGGCAGACCCCAAACCCACATTCTCTCCTCTTCAGTGTTCTTGCCCTCCCAGGGTATCTCCACCCTGATCTGAAACTGAAAGACTCCCACTTCTAGCAAAACAATGGTGAATACCAGTCATTTTAGACTCTATCTGATCTCCAACTAAGGTCAATCATCCTCAATTTACTTCCTGCCCTTCACCTGTCTAAATCTAACCTCAGTCTTCCTAAAGTTACTTCCTGTGCCTCTCCTGTCTAAATAAACCATCTTTTGACTATACCTAAGTGTTTCTTTAACCCTGGAGACTTTGCTCCTGTTACTCATTCTACCTGCAAGAACCTCCTCCATTCCTCTGCCTATAGAGACCATATCCATTTGTTAAATACCACAACTAAATGCCACCTGTTCCATGAGGTCCCTGGATCACCCAATCAGAAGGAGTATTTCCCTCTGCTAAGTTCTCCTTCCAGTATCTCTTATGACATCTACCAATTTCTGCCTTACCATTTGAGTCCTGTTTTATCTCCTCTATTATTAGTACAAACTCCCAGTTGGAATATTATCTAACTCTTTTTTCATTCCCCCCAACAGTGCCTGATACATGCTATGCACAAAATTCATGCTCAATATAGGTATATCGAAAAAAGTAACAAATGACTACTGGGCTGTCTTACAGGGGAGATCCGAATTAAAATGTTAATAGCCGATATTTTAAATCCTTACTATAAGAATAAAATTCCTTCTCTCCTCACTTTCTAGACATTGTTCAAATACCCCATCACCCGGTGCCTTGCTGCGCCAGCTGTGTATCGAATGATTCTACAGCAGATTTCTACCAGGTATGGTAGAAGTGGTGGTGGCTGGCTGGTCATAACAATCTTTGGGTAGGAATTTAAGGAATCCAACCTACTGTGATCTGACTTTTTAACTGTGGTTCTTTGAGGGGTGTGCAGGTGTGTGTGTGGTAAGTTAAGTGTTGACTAATTATCATTAGTCAGTCTAATTGATTCCTTAAAGCAGGACTAAGAGATCCAAATGAAATGCTAAGTGAGTCTTGCATTATTGTAGGTTTATTACTTTTTGAACATTTTTCTTATGAAAGGACAAACATACAGAAAAATACATAACACATAAATTTATAGATTAATGAATTGTTGAAAACAAAACACCTATGTCACCACTCACATGAGTCACAAAAATAGAATATTGCCCACACCCCAGAGATATCTTCATGACTCCCTATCTCCACTAAAGGAACTCATATCTTGACTTTTGTGGTGTTAGTTTCCTTATTTTCCCTTACAGATAACCTCCTAAGGAAATAACCCTAAACAAATTATTATATTTTACTTTCCTTTGAACTTTATGCATGTAATCATACATTATTCTGGAATATCTGGCTTCTTTTTTCAACATTATGTTTTTAAGATGTGTCTGTGTTGCTACATGTTGCTGTAGTTAATTTTCATTGCTGTATAATATCCCATTGTATTAAAACATTGCATATTTTTTTTCAGTTCTACCATTAATGGACACTCGGGTAGTTTTTATTTGGGGGTTATTGATGATTAGTGCTGCATTGAATTATTGCACATGTACCCTGGTGCATATAAGCATGGATTTCTGTCACATTTTTCTGGAATAAGAATTGCTAGTTCACACTGACACTACATTCTACAACCCAATTTTTCAAGATATTGAACCCATCTATGCTCCCACTAGCAAGGTAGGAGAATTCCCATTGTTCCATCACATTGGCATCACCTGTTATTGTCAGAGTTTTTCATTTTTGTCAATCTGATGGATGCATAGTTTTCTCTTCCTATAGTTTTCTTTTTGCATTTTCCCATGTTTGTGAGTTAATTTTAGCTAAACGGGAATCTGCTCTTTGAAACATATGGGCGTTCATGAATCTTTTAAAGACTCTGAAATTAAAATGGTTGCTCCAAAAATCAGAGTAACATGTTTTAAATATAGAATTAAAATATTCAGGTGTTTAATGACTACCCTTACAAAGCTAATTCTGAAACACAACTTGATTTTATTCATGAAGCCTCATGCTGGTTGGACTCCGTTTGTGTTTCAAAACTCATAATTAGCAACTTTTTGAAGTGTTCGTCAGATGATTATCTTTGTCCAAATCCAGTAAAATCCAACCATGTCATAACTAGTGACTGCATCACACTCTGCCCATTTTATCTATTTTGAATAAAGCTGAATAATGAAGAAAACACCTCAGTAAAACCAGCCCTCCTGTCCATCACCCCTGACTCTAAAGGCACCAGGACAGTGTGATGAGGATGGAAAGGTGGACAAGATGTCTGCTGCCTCTCTCATCCCCAAGAGCTGACCTGGTCCAGCCCCAGGCCAGCTGGTAATCAGATCTCAATCGCTTCTCCCCATGTCTTTCAAGGAATGCATTATTATTTTATGTCTGTTTTTTTCTCATTTATGGAAAATTTGATGAGGAAAATGAAGAGGATTTATGTCACACAGTGTACCTACTACAAATGTTGACAGCCAACTTTTCTGCTCTTCCTGAAATTCCTTTTCTCAGGGCCGTTACCTACAACCCTTCTCTCTCTTCCTACACTCATCCTGGTCTTCCTTGATGTCCTGAGCAATTCATTTCCACCCCTTAACTTGCATTTTCTGCTCAGAAATACAAAAACCCTTCAGTTCACATGACTCCACTCTTCATAGAAGGCAGTGCAGTTCTGTTATCATCCTAACAAGCTTTTGGGGAGTCTTATCTTCCACCCATTATGGTTTATAAAATATCCTTCTTAGCCACAGAGGATGTTAAGACAAGGCCTGAAAAATACGTCTTTGCCATCTTTCTACATCAACTTCCAAATTTGGTCCAAACTTTTGACCAAACCCATTAGCCTCACCACCACCACCCACCCCTTGCCAGAAGAGTTAATATGAACCACCAGGAAATGAGTGACTTTCCCTTGGCTTTGACCTCCAGTAAACTGCCCCAAAGACAAGTAAGAACATGAGGAAGCAGGAGGATAAATGATCCAGATGGCAAGGCTATGAGTGAGCTCTTAACACTCTGGGCCTGGGACAGAGCATCCAAGACCTGACCACAAGTTCTGTTGATACCTTGCCTTTCCCTTAGTCTCAGGTTCCCTGCCCTGGAGGACTGCATTACTGGTGGGGAGGCTCTGCTGCCAGAGGAACAAGAGGAGTGGAGAAGACGGACAGGCGTTCTGCTCTACGAGGTCTATGGACAGTCAGAAACAGTAGGTAGACAGTCCTTTCTGGGCCAGTCAGGATGTGCTTAGCCATGGAACCCAGCAGAGGAGCTGAATCATGTGTGTGTAGAGGCCCCACTCTGCTCACAGCATTGCCTGAAGATGATGGGGCTTCAGAGTTTTAGGCTAGTTTGCCCCAAATCAGTTTGCACAAAGATAATTCACAGCTAATCAATGTGTCAAGAGGCCAGTGTGCTGAAAACTATTGGGTGAGGACTTTGAAAGTGGTCTAAGGACATGATGCCACTGTCCCTGTGATCATTAAGCTCTATGGAGCTCATCAAGGGTGGAGGAGAACTGGGAGGTTCTCTCCAGTAACAAGGAGGCCACCATCCACAAGTTCTGCCATTTCACCATCCCTTCCTAGGGTAACAACCACAACAGCCAGAAGTTGGCCCCAGAAGTTCATTTCTGGGGGTTTAGGTGAACAGCACACAGGTTTGATTGTGAGACACTAGCTGGAGTGGAGGAGGGAGCAGAGACTTTCTGTATATACCAAACACACACACACACACACACACACACACACACACACACACACACACACACACACACAGTGTGATTCTCAAAGGCATCACTGAGCAGCCATGTGGTGGGGCATTCAGAGTATCATGCATGTTGTAAACCACAACAACTTTATCAATGATAGTGGGGGCAGGTATCTCTCATCCTACACATTCTCAAGCCACTTCTATTGCTGGACAGAGCCACTTCCCCAACCTCCTTATTATCCCCAAGGCTGACAGAGGGATGGCTGCCATCTCAGGAGCTGCAGCAAAATGGCTATTTTAGCCTCAATTAATATACTTCACTGACTTTTTTTTTTTGGAAAAAAATTCTTTTAAATAATCAGTTAATTGGTCTGCTTCAGGGTGAGATATATTAAGATTTCAAGTTTGTCCTTGTATGGTTCATAGTTTATATTTGGACAAGGTGGAGGGTGGTGGAATGGGAGCTACCTACACCCATGACATCCCTTTACATTAATTATTTGCAACAATAGACAGAATACTCCCTTATACTTGACTCGTGCTGTATTTCTCAATGTACTTTCATACCTACTGCCTCGTCTATGGAACATTTTCCATATGCCTGTACTGTGAGCAATAACATAGCAAAGGGGAAAGAGCTTCCCCTCCCAGGAACTCAGACACCAGTTCAGATCTCAGCCTTGCCAATCACGGGCTTCAAGACCATAGGCATAGCATTGAACCTTCCAGAGTCTCTGCTTCTCCATCTCCAAAATGGAAATATTATCCAGTCTTTCTAGGTTGTAATAAGGGAGATGAAAGGATGTATATAAAGCTCTGGCTACAGTGTCCAACCGCTTGTACATACTCACCTTGCAGTTACTCTTGTATTTAAGCAGGAGTTGCACTAGAATGCTGGATATAGAAATGAATGGAGCAGTCTCTATTCTCAGGATGCTTGTTATCCACTGAGAGAAACAAGCAAAAATAAGTATGATGCTCTGTTGGCTACAATGGAAGTATGAAGGGAAAATACTACAGAAGAATCTCCCAACTGACTTTTCTTGGGGGCCGAATAATGTTTATTGAACATAACCTGGTGTGCCTGGCACTGGGTGAAGGGTTTTCCGTACACCCAGGTACTCTGGGAGGTAAGTGTTATAATTACCCACCTTTACAGAAGAGAAATCAAAGAGGATTAATTGGCACACAACTGGAGTGAAGATTCATATCCATGAAACAAATCCTAGTCTGACTTAACTTTAGAAAAAATGATATTTTAGAGTACCATAAAGGAGGAATATGGTGTATCAGGAAGATAAAGGGAGTGGGGCAGTTCTCTAGCAGAAGGGACAACACAAACAATATGAATACTCTCAACACAGCTCTGAATAATTGAGACTAGTTTCCTGTCACTGTTCAACAGCCCCAAGTAAACATTAATGGTTTCATGGCCTTCCTCCAGCAAATGGACACATGTCTGACATATAGTGGGCCCACCACACCTGATATTACATGCCTACAGGTGCTGTGAACATCTGCAGACCAGAGTTAGGTCAATGCCTTGCACCTTACCTTGAATCTGGGCCTTCTAGCTTTCTCGTAAGAGTTCTTTGCACAGCATCAAATGACATTGGTGAGCCAGGATGCTGTGTATAGTTCTTGATGCTTTGTAATCAGCCAGGACTCTTTGACCAACCCCATTTTCTTTCTTTTGTAAACAGGGAATAAGTTGTGGCACTTTACGGGGAATGAAGATCAAGCCAGGTTCCATGGGGATAAGTATCCCCCCCTTCGACATCCAGGTTTGGTCCTAAAGACATTGGCCAGGAATAGTTAGGGCTTAGCTGGGATTGGACAATTGTGTGACACCAGGTGACAGAACCAGCTGTTCCCACCCCACTCCCCTGCCCCAGTTGCCGTCCTTCCTCCTCTCCTCCTATTTTCCCTCTGATTTCCTTGGGAGGCTTCGTTTGAGAGCTGCAGTATCCTGGGCAGGAATGCAGCTGAGCCTGGCAGCTGGAGGCCTCACACACAACAGATGGGACCAGAGCACCTGGAGCACCCTGGCATCTCTCTCCATCAGCTGGTGCTTCTAGTTTTTGCTCACCTGTGTCTTCCAGCTTGACGATGCATTTGCAATGCTTGTATATCCATGAAACAAATAGACCCATGACTGGGATTTCACCATTTGCTGAATTCAAACACTTTTGGCAGTTTTAATTTATTTTCTGACAGGGCTTCTCCCCCCATTTATTCTCACTGGTGTCACAGGAATAGTCAGCTAACGTTTGGGTGTGGCAGGTGTGTTGGGGTGGCCCTGCAGGGCGGGATTCACAGGCCTCTTGCTCCAGATCATTGATGAGAAGGGCAACATCCTGCCGCTCAACACTGAAGGCAACATTGGCATCAGGATCAAGCCAACCAAGCCCCTGGGCCTCTTCATGTGCTATGAGGTAAGTGGTGACCCTCACCTGACCCCTTCCAGGCCCTGAAAATCCCTGCAGGGAGCTGTGTGGGTGCTGAGTGAGTGGGGGTGATTCAGCTCTGCACCCTGAGCCTTCTTCATACCTCCTGTCATTCACTCCAACTCAGTGAAGCCTCTTTTTTTTTTTTTTTTTTTTTTTTTTTTAACGTTTTTATTTATTTTTGGGACACAGAGAGACAGAGCATGAACGGGGGAGGGGCAGAGAGAGAGGGAGACACAGAATCAGAAACAGGCTCCAGGCTCTGAGCCATCAGCTCAGAGCCCGACGCGGGGCTCGAACTCACGGACCGCGAGATCGTGACCTGGCTGAAGTCGGACGCTTAACCGACTGCGCCACCCAGGCGCCCCTGAAGCCTCTTCTTTAAAAAACTTTTTTCAGTGTTCATTTGAAAGAGAGAGAGAGAGAGAGTGTGTGAGTGGTGGAGGGGCAGAGAGAGAGGGAGACACAGAATCCAAAGCAGGCTCCAGGCTCTGAGCTGTCCACACAGAGCCCCATGAAGGGGCTCGAACTCACAAATCGTGAGCTTATGACCTGAGCCAAAGTCAGAAGCTTATCCAATTGAGCCACCCAGGTGCTCCCAATGAAGCCTCTTCTAATTAATCTCCCGTGTTCCCACATCCCTTCCTGTCCTAAGCCATCTGGCATTTAAGTGCTGATGGGGTAGAAAGAAGTCTGGTTTCAGAAGCAGCATACTTGGGTAACAATGATCTTTTGTGGTTGAGAGTGCAAGCTTTAACTGGGTTCACATCCTACAGTTCCATTTACCAACCACAAATCTGTTAACAATGCTGAGCCTCCAGGGGGCACTTTTGTCTGCACTTCACAGAGAAAGAAACTGCAGATTGGAAGAGTTGTATGCCTTCTGCATGTCAAATAAATGGCCGCTCTGGGATTCAATCCCACATCTTTTTGGTCCCCAGCACCTATATAAGAAATTGAGGGATTACATAAAACTGTGACAGATTCTAAGGATACTTGAAACTCTTAACCAGACAAACCCTAGCCTGGTCAGTAGTGGCCACTAAGAAGAAATTCTCAGCTTCCAAGATTGGCCAGGGGAGGGTGGACAGACCTTGAAATTGACCTCAGACCCATCTCCTTTCTCCACAGTAACAGCCATTCGTATCACTGTTGTCACTCTATGGCCTATGGCAGGGGAAGCGGGGCACTGCTTCTTTTGAGATATTATTGCCCAAAAGCAAATATGCAGACCCTAGCCTTTATTCACTGTATCACAGTTTTAAATGTGTATAAAAGAGAAAATTGTAAACACAGAGTAACACGTATATACTTCAGTGGTTCTCAACCCTGCATTTGAGGAGATTTAAAAATATTAATTTTTGGATCCAACCACAGAGATTCTGGTTAAATTAAACTGGGAAAGTCCAGAGCAGTGACAGTTTTTTCTTAATTGGAAATTATATATTTCGTTTTACAAAGATCTCCTCAGTCTATGCCCAAACCTGTATATGTATGTCATTTCACATGCTCTCATGACTATATGTTGTCACCCCTCCACTGAGATTTGTTTGCTTTTTTCCTTTCATTTTTTTTTATTGAGATAAATATATATAATATGAAATTTATCCTTTTCACCATTTTTTAAGCACACAATTCAGTGGCATTGAGTAAATTCACAATATTGTGCAATAATTACCACCATGCATCTGCAGAAAATTTCTTTCATCCCAAATAGAAACTCTGTTCTCATTGAACAACTCCCTCTTCCTCATATTCCTAGTGTTGGTAACCTTTAATATACTTTTTGTCTTTAAGAATATGCCTCTTGGGGCGCCTGGGTGGCGCAGTCGGTTAAGCGTCCGACTTCAGCCAGGTCACGATCTCACGTCCGTGAGTTCGAGTTCCGCCAGCGTCAGGCTCTGGCTGATGGCTCAGAGCCTGGAGCCTGTTTCCGATTCTGTGTCTCCCTCTCTCTCTGCCCCTCCCCCGTTCATGCTCTGTCTCTCTCTGTCCCAAAAATAAATAAACGTTGAAAAAAAAAAATTAAAAAAAAAAAAAAGAATATGCCTCTTTTAGGCGCACCTGGGAGGATCAGTCAGATAAGTGTCCAACTTCCACTCAGGTCATGATCTCATGGTTTGTGAGTTCGAGCCCCATGTTGGACTCTGTGCTGACAGCTCAGAGCCTGGAGCCTGCTTCAGATTTCTGTGTCTCCGTCTCTCTCTACCCCTCCTCTGCTCCTGCTCTGTCTCTCTCTCTCTCAAAAATAAACAAACATTTAAAAAATGTAAAAAAAAAAAATGCCTATTTTAGGCACCTCAATTAAGTGGAATTGTGCAACATTTGCCCTTTTGTGTCTGGTTTCATTTCACCTAACACATATTTTCAAGGCTCCCTCATGTTGTAGCATGTACCAAATGTCATTTTTTAAGGCTAAATGATATTCCATTATATGTACGTACTATGTTTTGTATATCCATCAATTTCTTAATAGACATTTGGGTTATTTCCACCTTTTGGCTACTGTGAATAATGCTGCAATGAACATTGGTGTGCAAGTATCTGTTTGAGTTCCTGCTTTCACTTCTTTTGGGTGTATATTCAAAAGTGGAATTCCTGGATCATATGGTAATTCTATATTTACTTTTTGAGGAATTGTCAAAATGTTTTCCACAAGTGGCTGTACCGTTTTCTATTTCCATCAGCAATGCACAAGTGTTCCAGTTTCTCCATATCCTTGCCGATATTTGTTAAATTTTCAGGTTTGTTGTTGTGTATACAATGGTCATTCTAGGGGCGCCTGGGTGGCTCAGTTGGTTAAGCATCCAACTTTGGCTCAGGTTATGATCTCATGGTTCGTGGGTTCGAGCCCCGCGTCGGGGTCTGTGCTGACAGCTCAGAGCCTGGAGCCTGCTTCAGATTCTGTGTCTCCCTCTCTCTCTGCTCCTCCCCCACTCAGGTTCTGTTTCTCTGTCTCTCAAAACTAAATAAACATTTAAAAAATTAAAAAAAAATACCATGGTCATTCTAATGGGTGTGAAGTGGTATAGTATGTCATTATGCTTTTGATTTGCATTTCCCTAATGACTAATGATGTTGAGCATCTTTCCATATTCATATTCTTTTTAAACTGTTTTTTAAGTTTATTTATTTATTTTTGAGAGAGAGAGAGAGAGAGAGAGAGAGAGTGCAAGCAGAGGAGGGCAGAGAGAGAGCGAATCCCAAGCAGGCCCTGCACTGTCAGCGTGGAGCCTGATGCTGGGCTTGAACTCACAAGCTGTGAGATCATGATCTAAGCTGAAACCAAGAGTCAGACACTTAACCGACTGAGCCACTCAGGCACCCCTTCATATTCTCATTGATCATTTGTGTATCTTCTCTGGCCAATTGTCTGTTGAAGTCCTTTGCCTATTTTTACAATTGGGGTTTCTGTTGTTGATTTGTAAGAGCTCTTTATTCATTTTGGATATGAATCTCTTATCAGATATATGCTTCCAACATATCACATATATTACTTCCATTCAGTGCATTGTCCTTTTACTCTCTTGATAGTATCCTTTGATGTAAAATTTTAAAAATTTGATAAGGAACATTTTATCTATTTTTTTTGTTTGTTTCATGTGCTTTTGGTGTCATAGTCAATAAATAATTGCCAAAAACAAAGTCATGAAGACTTTCCCCTATGTTTTCTTCTAAGAGTTCCAGAATTTCAGTTCTTCTGTTTAGGTTTTTGACCCATTTTGAGTTAATTTCTGTGTATGGCATATGGTAATTTCATTCATTTGCATGTGGACATCCTAGTTTCTCAGTGCCATTTGTTGAAAAGATTAACTTTCCCACTGAATGGTCTTGGCATTCTTGCCTAAAATCCAGTTGGAAGGGAACCTAAAAAGAGATGTCATTCAATGTTTTTAAAATGGTTTTTTTAGGGGGCACCTGGGTGGCTCAGTCCAACTCTTGATTTTGGCTCATCATGATCTTATGATTGTAAGATTGAGCCCTGCTTCAGGCTCCACTCTGGGCGAGGAGCCTACTTAGGTTTCTCTCTGTCTCTCTGTCTCTCTCTCTCTCTCTCTCTCCCTCTGTCCCTGCTCTCTTGTTCACTCTCTCTCCTTTTGCCTCTCTCTCTCTCTCTCTCTGAAAAAAAAATAAGCTCAAAGTAAAAAAATAAAACTTTTTTTTTCTGGAACCTTTTAAAATCATTTTATGTTCCACGTGAGGGATGATGCTAACACACTGCTTAGTGGTTGAGTGCAGAGGCTGAAGAGTAAGAATTTTAAATTCAAATACCAGCCCTTCCACTGACCAGCTGAGTGACTTTGAGCAAGTTATTGTGCTTTTCTGAACACTCATTTCTTCTACTAAATGGGCTGTAAAAATCTAGCCCCACGTGAAACCTGTACATGCATGTTCAGAACAGTTCTATTCACAACAGCTTCAAACCAGAAACAAGCCAAATGCCCTTCAATAGGTGGACATCCAAACTGGAGTTTGTCCATAACATGAAATACCATTTAGCAATAAATAGGATCAAAGTACTGATGAATGCAAGAAACTGGATGAATTTGCAGAAAATTATACGGAATGAAAAAATTAAAAAAAAAAAAAGAGCTAGACCCAAAAGGTTGCATACTATTACAGGATTCCATTTATGTAACATTCTTAAAATGACAAAATTATAAAACTGGGGAATAGATTAGCCACTGTCAAGGAGTTTGGGATTTGGAGGGAGGAGGGAGGGAAAGCAGGAGGGAGGTCAGTATGATACAAAAGAGCAATGATCCTTGGGACTGTGGGAGCCTTCTGTGTCTTGACCATGGTGGTGGATGCAGGAACCTGCACATGTGATAAAGTTGCAAATTACTGAATACACCAGACACACACATAAGTACAAATAAACCACTGGGAAATCTGAGATTGGTGGATTGTAGCAATGTCAATATCCTGGTTGTGATATTGAAGTACAGTTTTGCAAGATGCTACCATGAGGGAAACTGGGTAAATGGTACACAGGATCTCTGTGTTATTTCTTATAACTGCATGCAAGTATACAATTATCTTAAAGTAAACAGTTTAATTTGAAAAATACCAGCCTTATAGGCTTTCTGGGAGGATCGGGTGAGATAGTATTGGGGGAAGGAAATTCTTTTAACAAAAGTTTTTGACACCTCTCATTTTTTCAGACACACTGTGAATGCTAAGTTGAGAACAATAAATAAAAGGGTCCATGCTCTAGTGGAAATTTTATTCTACTAGAGCTCCACACAAAAATTTGTCCTTAAAATTGGCTCATTATTGTCCACTAATTGGCAAGTAGTGTGCATTGAGTACTTGGAGGTAGTGAAAATAGACTCAGAAAGATTACAAAACTTGTCTCAGTGCCAGGTAGAACAAGGAGCAGAATTTGAACCCAGATCTGAGTACCAGGTTGTGGGTCATCATCGCTAAAGTAATTGCCTTCAGGGATGCCTGGGTGGCTCAGTCGGTTGGGCATCTGACTTCAGCTCAAGTCAGGATCTCACACTTTGTGAGTTCAAGCCTTGCATCAGGCTCTGTGCTGACAGCTCAGAGCCTGGAGCATGTGTCAGATTCTGTGTGTGTGTGTGTGTGTGTGTGTGTGTGTGTGTGTGTGTGTGTCTGCCCCTTCCTCTCTCTCTCTCAAAAATAAACAGTAAAAAAAATTTTTTTTAATTTAAACTAATTGTCTTCAACAAACGGGTGCTGTTATCTTTTCAGGACAACCCAGTAAAGACTGCAGAAGTGGAGTGTGGGGACTTTTACAACACTGGGGATAGAGCAACTATGGATGAAGAGGGCTACATATGGTTCCTTGGGAGGAATGATGACATCATCAATTCCTCTGGGTAGGTATGGCTTATCTGAGCCAGGAAGCATCACTCTCACATGCCTGATGGGATCTAGCTTGTCCATACATTTGTCCATGCGTTGGTGATTTGACCCTCAGGCTAATTCTGAACAAAACTTTGTCTATGAGGTCCTTTTCTGGGGCTATCTGTGTATCTTCCCCAAGCCCTGCATCCAGAAGAATCAATCAAAATGAAGTTCAACAAGGTCTTCAAGAGGAACATAAGACATTATACAATTTAGGGGCACCTGGGTGGCTCAGCTGGTTAAGCATCCAACTTCTGCTTGTGTCATGATCTCGCAGTCTTTGAGTTCAAGCCCTATGTCGGACACTGTACTGACAGCTCAGAGTCTGGATCCTGCTTCAGATTCCCTGTCTTCCTCTCTCTCTGTCTCTCCCCCTCTTGCACTTTGTCTGTCTGTCTGTCTGTCTCTCTCTTCCCAAAATAAATAAACATAAAAAAAAGACATTATACAATTTAAAGGATTTAGAAGGAAGACTTTACTTTGACCCCTACTGGTTGAGGAAGCTTATTCTATGCTTGGCTTCTCTGATCGGACACAGCATTTCACAGAAAAACTTAATAATAAGTAATAGCAATTGACCTCTATGGAGCACTTCCTATGTGGAGGCACACTCCGCAGTGCTTTATATAATCCAGCTCTCAATGCTAGAAGGTACATGCAATTATGCCCATTTTGCAGATGAGGAAACTGAGTTACCAGTGAAGAAAGTTTCCTAAAGTTTCAAAGGGAACGGGCTGCAACCCAGATTTCAACAAGTTATCTGGCTCTAAGTCTGTTGTCCCTAACATGTATGTGATTTAAAAGATTTTTGGCATATTACACTAGAGTAACAAGTCCTCTTGGAGATTTCAGGGAGTGAGTTTGTTTCCTTTTTTAATTTCTAAAACATGCTAATATAGTGGGTAATAGGATACAGAGTTTACGTGAATGTTTAAGGTAAAAGTTGAGGCTGCCAATAGGTTTCATGCCAGGGGAAGCTGCTTGAGCCAAGCCCTGGAACCCAGGGAGGACTAAACCTGGGCCCTCTTCCCAGACCAGAGGCAGTGAGGTGAGAAACCCTGGGGAGCATGTGAGTGTTGTATTGTGTACATGAAGTGCAAGACAGAGGAAGGTCACAGGTATCTGGGCTCCCTGAGACAGTTATCCTACATGGCAAAGGAAGATGTGACTCTGCAAAATATGACACTTGAAGGCCTGGGTCACCCAGCCCTGCCAGCTGCTCAGAAACCAAGAAGGAGTCATTGATCCTCCAGGTACAGAATCGGGCCAGCAGAGGTGGAGAATGCCCTGGCCGAACATCCAGCAGTGGCTGAATCAGCTGTGGTGAGCAGCCCAGACCCAATTCGAAAGGAGGTAAGGAGGAGGACACAGAGGTCATCTTGTCTGTGTGTGGGCACCTGGAAAGCCGGTGCAAGAAAGACATCCCCCAGGCCCTATTTTCCCAGCCTCCCACCTAAGGTGAAGGGAGGGCAGAGAGCATGTGCATGTGCATTTACACTGTGTGGTCACCAGAGGGCACTGGGCCAAAACTGTGACAAAATGGTGCTTGTGAATCCTGCACACTGAGGCCTCCAATCTGCTGTTGAATGAACCCTTGCTCTGTGCCAACTCATTTCCCCCTCACAACAGCCTAATTCTTTAAGGATTCTGATATCCTTTTTTACAGTAAAGAAACAAGCATAAAGAGATTAAGTAACTTGCCTGATCACAAAGCTCTTAAGTGGTGGAGGTGGAATGGGAATTTTAGTAATCCTTCTCTGGATCATGCATTCATTGGTTCAACAGGTGTATGCTGACTACCTACTATGTACAAGGCCCTGTGCCCTGTAATAGGGACATAAGTAATATAAAACTATCTAATTACCAACATTTATTTCATGCCCACAGAACTCTATCTACAATAATAGTAAAAATGGTGATGATAATGATAGGAATACAAATAATTTAAACTGGCTTCATGTTTTGCATGTAATATCTCAATGAATCTTGACATAAATGCAACGAGGGGTGAAGCTGTGCTATCCCCACATCACTGAGAAGGAAATGGAGGCTGAGAGGTTATTTTCTAAGACAAAGAGTAGAAATTGGAAGTATGGAAACTGGTCGTTATCTTCTGCAAAGGCTCAACTCTTCCCTTGTTTTTCCATTTACTTAATAAACATTTACTTTTTAAACTATACAATTGGTTGCCACTCAGCCTGAGCCTTCACTCTGGTTCTGCACTACAGGTGGTGAAGGCATTTATTGTCCTGACCCCGGAATTCCTCTCCCGTGACCAGGACCAGCTCACCCAGGAGCTGCAGCAGCATGTGAAGTCAATGACAGCCCCATATAAGTACCCGAGGAAGGTGAGTGAGGGCAGATGGATGGGATGTGGTCCCTGCCAGTGGTTCCTGGGGCTCTGCTGCCCCAAATCCGCTAGGGTGGCCAAGGAGAAGCTTATGTAGCCAACAGAATGAACATTTTCCTATGCAGAAGAAGCAGTTCAACTCAGTGATATGGGGGAACCAACTTAATCAGAGGGAAACTTTGTCCTGTGTCAAAAACATGGCTGGCAGGTCAACGTAAAGAAAAAAATTGAGACAAGTGCCCAGAGACATCAAGATTATTTGTAATCTTTGAACATTTGGAAAAGAAATTCCAATCAATAACTGCTACACATTTTAAAAACATTATTTGTAGTAAGAAATACATTCTAAATTGCAACCCAGTACATGTATAGATACATAACAAATAAAGGCTAACAAAGTAATATTAATTCTAACATACAATACATTCTGAGAGTTTTTATTCTACTTCATTTGTTTTCAAGGCCATGTGCAACCTATGGAAGTGTTCAGGAATAGAGAAATGATTACATTATTTATGGTATTTAATGTAGTCCTATAATTTAAAAAGACAATGCAGATCTTTTATTTGTAACTTGAAAACGTCACAGTATCTTATTAACAGAAAAAAGCAGGCTGTAAATGAATATACCTAATATCATATTTGTTGGAAAACAACAGTTTGAAAGGATACATATGCCACAAATTAACATTTCCTTCTTTTGTAATAATACGTTGCTGCATTTTCTGAATGTTTACAATCAGGACATAAAGCTATACGGCTAACATTTATTGGCATTCACTATGTGTACCAGGTCCTGGACTCAAAGATTTACATTTTTACTATTTGAATTAATCCTCTTCAAACCTGAGATGCTGTAACCACCCATTTTACGGAGCAGAAACGGAGGCTCAGAGACTCCCAGTAAATTGCCTGAGGTTGGAGTTAATAAAAGGATGGAGCTGGAACTCAGACCCACATGTATCTGACAAGAGATCATGCTTTGAATGTTGGGCTGTCCTGCCTCTTAGGAGGAAAACAGAGGATGCATGAAAGTTAGGATGGACTAGAGGTTATTGTGGGTAACAAATAGCCCCAAAATCTTAGAACCTTATAATAAGGGAAGTTTCTTCCTTGCTCATACCACATGTCCACCATGGTCCCCCTGGGACCAGGATAAAAGAGCACCCATCAGAGGTAACTACCAGGTGACATAAGAGATGGACAGAGAGGTGACCAGACTCAGTTGTTCCCAAGTGTTGTGTTCAAGGTGGCACACTTCACTCCCACTCACATTTCACTGGTCAGAGCATGTCACAGGGCTACATCCAGCTTAGTGGGTCAAAGGACAATGTGACATACTTGGTGGAGCCTAGTGAGGCCACTACATGGTGCCAGCCTGTCTGGGGGACTGTGCAAAGGCAAAGAAAGGAGGTGGGGCATTGGTAGTAAATGATAGCAGGACTAAGTCAGGATGGGTTTGCTTCATCCTCAACCAGGTGGAATTTGTCCCAGAGCTGCCCAAAACCATCACTGGCAAGATTAAGAGAAGTGAACTTCGGAAAAAGGAGTTTGGTCAGATGTAATCAGCAAAACACTCAGAAACCACTCTGTAATCTTGACCACATCCTTGACTGCCTCAGTTTCCCCACTATGGAGAGGGTGAGGAGGGGAATGTAGAGCACTGTTTTGTAGCATCAGGAGTGCCAATGTTCTAGCATTTTTGTTCTCTTAAATTAATATGTTATTGTCTTCCCTCCACATCCCTGGGTAAGTGCTCCAAATGTGGTCTGGTAATAAAACATTGACATCAGCATCCGAGGCGACCTTGTGTTGTGCTTTTATTCTGTGAATAAACTGGCACTAAATGCTATCCCTCCATAATTCTTCCCAAGTTCCATCAG